GCAGGCCCAGGGCGAGGGGCTGAGAGCATGGCTGCCGGCACCCAGCACTGCCGCCGGGCCAGCGATGCCCAGAGGGCACTCAGCAGGATGCTCTGCTGTCTTCCCCAGGATCTCATCTCCAGCAAAGTGCCCTCTGCCCCCAGTTTGGGTGACGCACTTCTGCAGCGTGCAGCCGGGCCAGCACTGCCTGCTGCCCTTACTCAGACTCTGGGTAGGGACCTGCCTGAAGCCTGTGCTGAGAAAAATGCCAGGATGCATATTTTAAAGTGCCAAGATGGGAAACCACTGTACCTCATCGCACTTCAATCAATAACACCAGCAACATTTCTTTTTGCTTCTGAAAGGATCCCATCAGCCCAAAGAGCTTCCTCATTCCCCCGCAAACAGGATTTTGATTTACAGGGAGCTGTGTGTTTGTTTGGTTTTTTTTAAGACTGAGCAGCCTGAAAAATAATAAGGTGATTTTTTTTTTCCTTTAAGACTTTGTCTTAACTCCTCAATGGCTGGGAACTGATAAACACAACAAAAAAAAAAAAGCCCCATAAAACTGGGCTTTGCAGGCAGACAGTGAGCTGCAGCTCTTTCATACCGTCCAAGAGAAATTCAGTTCCAGCTGAAGAATGAAGCAGAAGCCAAATTTAATAGTGCCTGTGCTGTTTTATTCTTCAAAGTTACCCAAAGAAGGCCCAGCCCTGTGACTAGCAGTGGCAAGCTGGGGTCACCAGCACACCAGACCTGCAGCGAAGTGCTCCCAGGAGGTTTGTGCACCTCCAGCTTTCTGTCCATGCCTTCCCCCAGTGAGAAGATCCCAAGATGATGCTGAGTGTGTGGCACAGCACTGCTCCATGTCCGGCAGCACAGCTGGATGAATACTGGGCTGTCTTTTGCCAACACTTTGATGCCCTCGGTTAGCCTCCTAGGATGTGATGCAGACTGACCTTTGACCAGTGGAGCCCCATAGTGGGGACATTTGTGTCCCACGGCGTGGAACTCGCCGCTCTCTTTGATGAGCAGAGCCTTCCCGCAGCCCAGGTCCACTTCCCGCATCCTGGGGAGGAGGAGCATGGAAAATACGTGGCAGAGCACCTGCCTGGCAGCCACCCCCTCGCCCTGCACCCCAGCCCTGGTCCCGCCAGGCTCCCCTCCCTCCTTCAACTTGCTCACCACCGGCTCTAGGTGACTTACAGGTATGGGTCACTCTGTCACCGAGCTGTCTTTGGAGGTGGCTCTACTGCTCCCAGCCTGGGGCACATCTGAGCTGGGCCATTATGTGGCAGCTTCTTCATCCAGCGCTGTGCCAAGAGGTGGCCCAAAGCACCTCCCCAGCTGCTCAGGAAGCAGCTGGTGATCTCCACTGAAGTCCAGCGGGTCAGAATAAAGCTTTTCGGCACGTGGTGGGAGCGAGAAACCAAACTGGTTTTACTGCAACATCACCTCCCCACCTGGCCCCAGTGGCTCAGCAGGTCCCTGCCAGGCTTGTGTTCACTCACTCAAAGCAAACACAACATTTCTGAGACTTGAAAGCCAGGCGAGGTGATTCTGACCTTTTGCGTACTCTGGCCTTGCGGTCTGCCTCCCAGCGCTGCAGGGGATCATGCTCTGGTCCTGGCCGCATCCCAGGGTCAACAACATGGGCCACCTTTTCCTGATAAAACCCTCAGGACAGCAGACACCTACATGTGACCTCCTTGCTGTTTCCCTCAGCTGTTTTTGCAGAGTAAAGCTCACACAGCGACCTGCCTGCCTGCTCTGGGCTGCTGGCCCCAGCTCTGCACCAGCGAGGGGCTCTGCCTCCCTGATGCTGCTGGCACTCAGCCCCGCTTTTGCATAGGAGCCAACTTAACCCTCAGCCATCCCCTCAGAGATTCAGGTGCTCTTTGAAAGACCACAGTTGCTTCTGTGGTACCCTGGACAAAAGTGTGGTTAGCACAGCAGGAA